TCAGGAAGCCCAGAGCTGTGGCACCCTCTATCGTGTTCTTTGACGAGATTGACGCCCTGGCCGTTGAGAGAGGAAGGGAGGGCATCATCCTTGGGGTCTGCGCACAGTGACGTGCACGACGTCCAGATTCTGTTAGTGCCCCCCCCCCCCACTGTTTGGTCCCTCATGGATTCCCCGTGGAGATGTTCCCTAGCCCCCCCCCCCCCCCTCTGCCAGATCAGAAAGCGTCATATTTTGGGGGTCGACACTCCTGGAGAAACGAATGACGGCTTGATCCAGTTTGCACCTTGTAAACGAGAAACTCATGGGGGGAGGGGGGGGGGGCACTAACAGAATCTGGACGTCGTGCACGTCACTGTGCGCAGACCCCAAGGATGATGCCCTACCTTCCTCTCTCAACGGCCAGGGCGTCAATCTCGTCAAAGAACACGATAGAGGGTGCCACAGCTCTGGCCTTCCTGAAGACCTGCAATTGGAGATACGGCGCTGGTGGGAGGCAGACCAAAAACGATCCCCAAGCAACCGAGTCCCACCAGTGTTTAACGTCGATGCTCACAATAGGAATGACTTTCCACAGACAAACAACTACATCAATACTGTACTACAGCTGACTGGGGATTGGACCAAGTGCACCTCCCTTACTTCTCTCACTGCTCTCTCAGACTCGCCCACATACTTGCTAAGCAATTCGGGACCCTGGAGAAGAAAAAGAAAAAGAAGAAGAAATTTATCAGATTCAGAAAATATAAACAATTGAACTTCAGCTGAGATCTTTGTTCTCCCATTAGATCATCCCAGTCCAATACAGGATCATTTTGCTGGTCCTACTGACCCATGCAATCTGACCAAGGCATGGCAACCTCCAGTAGGTGTTAGTGCACAGTAGTTAAGGGAGTCACAGTTTTACCAAATGAATAAAACAAATAAATAAATAAATGCGTAAACAGCCAGCTACTAAGAGAACGACTCGGAATAACAGCTGAAGTACTGCAAAGAAATTGCACTACAATTAGAGGCTGGTTATTTCAGAGATATAGTGGGCTGGGAGTAGAGGTTAATGCAGAGGACAATGGAGGGGAGTTGGCTGTTGGGGGGACTCAAGGGGGCTCTTTCCATCAAGGAGGATAAGCACTCAGGCACCGGCGTCCAGCGTCTCCCGCGCGACTCTTTTCAGCACCTTGGAGGAGGGCACTGAAATAACAGCCTCTCTCGTCTCCTTGAAAAAGCCTGGAGGGTACCTAACGGTCAAGCCGCCCCCCCCCACCCCACATACCCCCCTATCCCATTAAGCTGCTCTTCAGCGACTGTGTCGAAGGCCTGAGCTTCACACGACACTCCCACAAGTGCTTGTCAGACTCCATTTAAAGTCAATGCAGCGTCCCAACTGACAGGGTGATTAAAACAAAAGTTTACAACTGTATATTTTTGAGGCGAGGTAATTAAACTTCATTTTTAATTTAACACCGAAACTGGTGGCAATTCAATGTGAAACGCAGATGTTTACCATAACATTCCCAGGAAGCCCATAAGGCCCATAAGGAGAAGGTTGAATGATTTTTCTGTAAATATCATTGGCATGTGGGACCAGAAGCTCCCCACCACTCAGGGGCTCCAAGGACACCGTCCCTCGTCCCAATCAGAGCCCCGCTGAGCGAATCTGTCACAGGTATGTCACCCTCAACCCTCACCCAGGCCAGAGCTCAAAAGGATTCCGAGAGGAGCAAGGCTTTTGGGGTGATGAAGGGTGCCACCGGTCCGAGGTCGAAGGGGACGGGCGGGTCAAGAGGGAGGGCCTGTGAATCTGAGAGCGACAGCTCCAGGGAAGCTGGGAACCCAAGCGTAAAACTACCCAGTGACTGTCTGACAGCTTAGAGGCCGATAAACAGAGCCATGCTAGCCACTGCTAATGAACAAACACAAAGAGATGTGAATTACCGGCTGCAATAAACATTCCTATTGAAATATTTCAAATGTTTTGAATGGGGTCATGTTGAACTCGATTTTCTGCTTGCAAAGTTTTGTATCTTTCACATCAAAAGGAGGAACAGTCTCATGTTACTAAAACCGACAGTTCCTGTGCACGTTAATCCCTATGACCGCAAACGATACACACGGGGGACACGTTACCTTGATGGCTAGGAAGTTGAGTCCACTCTCATTGGCCAGAGCCTTGGCAATCATGGTTTTTGAGCACCCAGGGGGTCCGTAGAGGAGGACTCCCTTGGGAGGCTGGATGCCCATGCGGGAAAAGGCCTCGGGGTGCCTCAGGGGCCAGTCCACGGCCTGCTTCAGTTTCAACTTCACGTCGCCCATTCCACCGATGTCCGACCATTGTACCTGTGAAGCAGCGACAAGACCGCGATGTGTATTGATTGGTATTCCTTTTAGAACAAATTCCAGAACGTGATGACCATAAGACTACAGAACAAGTTTAGAGTTAGAAAGAGAAGAATAAAGCTTCTCGAGAAAGCTTCTGCTCAAGAAGGCCTCATGAGTTCCTCAGGAGACGAAGCCTTCCGGGATGCTAGGGGACCTGAGGTCCCCATGTGGCAGGACTGACAGGGCCTCAAATTCCGGTACGGAAACATCAGCACCCATCCTGCCCAGCAGGACTGCACAGCCACAGCGGGTGCAGATTACGTACACCCCCACAATGCCAGAGAAGTTGCCTACCACAGACAGACAGGAAACCTATAGCTCAGACCTAATAAAAGTCTATCTGGGAAAAGCTAGTCAGGACACTTTGACAGGGGAAATGTGGAGGTGGGGGGGGTGGAGGAACTCCCACAAGCACAGACTTGAGAAACAGCAGGGGAATCCGACAAGTCTAATAGGGGAGGCACAGTCCTGATAACAGCAAGGGAGAGGGCACCCGCTGTGAGTGATCGTTTTGATGGACGAACCCCAGCACTCTGCCCGACACATAAAACCCAGAAAGGGTACCACCACAACCGTCTACATTCATTTAAACATGGCTACGACTTCCCCTCCCCCCATCTCTGCAACACAGTGACCCGTCGCAGGCCATCGGGGGGGGGGCATCTTGAGTGCAAAGAGTGCCTTGCGGAAACCTGGCGTGCAGCCACGCGCTGTAAATACCACACGGCGAACGCGGAGCGGCAGACTGCCGGCGACTGGCGCTGCCGGTACCTGCTCGCTGTAAATCCGTCAGCCTACAGGAACAGCCCAAACAGGTGTGCAGATGTGCTGCAGAAAGAAGCACCAAGCTGCACACATCTGCATTTCTACTGGGCGGGGGCTTAGGGGCCAAAGATCAAACAAAGGATTATGGCTCCTCTGTCAAAACTACAGACTGAAGGAAAAGGGGCCACAGCACAAGTCACACCTCACAGTCCCTGTTTTTCAATGACAAGATGTGGACTTTTTAAACCAGAGAGGATCCAAGAGCCCCCGAGGATGGAAAAAAAATGCAGGCATCCATAAGAGCACCTGACAAAAGTATCAAAAGGTCCACTTCCTGAGGCTTGTCCAGCTTCATTAGCCCTAAACAAATGGTTCAGAAATAAATGTCTCGCTCTCGTGTGGATATACGCCAGGTGTCTTTTGCAGCTGACCCATCAGCTGGGTTCAGCCCCTGAAGATTCCTGAATGCCAGGCTTTGATTGGTCGAGTGCCATGCTCTGTATTTTCATGCATCTGTGTGTTGATATCTATTGTGCTGTGTTAAATAAAGGAGATGAAAGCATAGAAACAAAGAAAGAACAGTCCTTTGATGTAAATGGTAGCTTAACCGCCTCCATATACACATGCACAGTTGATATTTTAGGTACCCAAACTACTTAAAAGCTTTCAAAAAGCAACTAAATAAACAAAACTACCTCTACTTTTTGATTACACCAGCCATCTGAATAATAGGCAAGAACCATCTCCTTCCCTGGCACAAACCCAACACACACCCTGGGCACGTCGATGGCAACTTCTCTCATGGCGCTCGGCTTCACCACTGACATAGCCAGCTGGAGGTCCTCCAGGGTGATGGTCACCACATCCATCGCATGATCATCCAGCAGATGGGGGTTGGCGCCCAGCACCCGACGCAGAGCAAGCATACCTGGGACAGAAGGAAGGCATCACCCAGAGCAGAGATTGGCATTATACACGGTCTTGGTCTGCCAAACCAACACGCACCACTACTTAAAATAAGTTAAGTTATTTGCTACCCAGATGGTTACCAGCATCAAAGAAAACCCTATAATTAAATAAGCTATTTATCATTCGTTCAAGACATAAATGAAGATATGACGACCTCATCTAGAGAATTAAAACCAACCCGTCGAAAAAAATATTGCTCCGGGGTTATGGGAAAAAGAGCTGACCCTGTCACTCTCACATGCAGTACTCAGTAAAAATATTGCAAATGTGCTGGTTTTGTAACAAAAATGATTACTTAATTCATTTGTTTATGAAAAAATATATATCACATTAGAAACAACCAGAAATTTTTAAAGTAAAACATAAATTTCAAGTACTAATAAATTGAAACCCAAATTATAGTTCTAAAAGAGCTGTTCTGACTGGAAAAGTTAACTGGATGCTTTTTAATTAGTAACACCTGTGCAATAACATAAAACACCAAATATTTGTGTTTAGTATCCCTTTGGGAGCCAATGACTACAATTGGATGGAATTAATAGTAAAATGGCAAGAAGGGAACGGAATGAGTCACTCAAACAAATTATGACACTTAAAAAGAAAAAGTCTGCAAGACGTGTAGATACGTTAAACATTGCTTGTCAATGGACTTTTGTTATGAAAGCAGTAAATATGTGACATCATTACAGAATTAAGCAAGACTTTCTGTGAGCAATGTATATCGTTGCTGACCGTTGCCTGTGTCCCTTTTTTGATAATTGTGATTTTTTATTTTTACTATAGATGGAATACGCCCATCCTCCTCTGTCTACCGATAGGCTCTGACATTTAATTGACCAATGAAATGTTGTTTTATGAAGTCCATTTAACTATTCTATTTAATTAGTGTTTATGTTAGTACTAGTTAACATTTGTATTCGTGTTAGTTGTTTGAATGGATTACTTTATATCACTATTTTTAACAAGGCTGATAGCTAAATAACTCACATCACTGTTAATTGTGAATAAAAAGCTAGATGACTTTGTATCTTCTTGACAACAACATATTTGCCTTACTGACTACAATCCATGTAAGTCCATGTAAAACCTTAAACCGTTCACTGACAGCTCTGTAAAGAAAGGTTTCTATTAATGGTACCAAGGGCGTCTCATGACATTGCTATATATTTACTTTGTAATGGATATGAAATAATGGATTTTGGCAAATGCATATTTTTCATCGTACAGCAACGTTGTGTGTATGTGCGCATGTCTCAAGAAAGAGTTAAATGGGATACACAAAAACAAAATAATCCCAAGGTACCTATAGTCGTACAAATAAACCGTTTCATTTAATTTCAAACATCAATTCAGGCTTTATCGTACCGACGCTGTCCCAGGTGGTAGACTAGAGCTTAAGAGACCTCCTTCATAGGCCCGTGGCGCACTGTGTGTGTAGCAGAGCAATCATCGTCTGTGCGGAGTCTGCTCTGACTCACGCAGTTTCAGCACTGACTCGTGAGTTGTGACGGATCCTGCCCGTCTAAAAGATGCAGAAATCCAGCTTAACCTACACACTACGCAGAGAGACAAAGACCAAATCTCTCCTCGTCGTCTTTTGTCCTCTGTATATAATTATCCACCACATGAAAGAATAGTAATCTGAAAAAAAAAATCAATCCAGTTTGCCAAAGAGCCGCCCCAACCTGCTCCGACGGAGGCAATTAACGCTAATTCACGGACGATTTCCGTTTTGTTAAACGCCTGGCATGACTGCTAATGCTTGTCCTTTGTCAGGAGAGATTTGCGAGTCCAGCAAAGGATTTATAATGACAGATCAATGCTTATTATTAATTCTGTAGTTGTTGTGGGCCTTGTCACAAAAGGAAATTTACTCCATCATTCACTGGTCCTGTTTATAAGCACTAAACACCAAAGAAATACAGGTAAGTATTTCAGGATGTGGGTTCCCCCTCTGGGCTTGAGCGAATAAAAACTGACAGAACTGTCCTTAAGCATCGCGCAACCCACTGAGCACTGTCTACACTACAGTAATGTGCTCAGAATTGGGACAATGCATGCAGAACATTCCGAGACAGACAGGGTTCATTTCCTCTCAGAAACAGATTAACATAAAAAAAACAGAATCCTGCTAAACTTAGTTAAATAAGGTAGATGCTTAAGAAGTACGTAAATTACCAGCAGGTTTATCGCAATCGAGAACGAGAACCTCTGCTCCATCCCACCCCTACCATTGCCCAGATCTGCAACCTTTCATGCCCCAATCTTGGCACTGGGGCACAATTCCCCTCCCACCTCCCCAGTTTCCAAGACAAAATGCACATAATGCCCCCCACGCTTCCCTCAGATGGCCAGGCGGAGGCAGACAGGAGGGATTTACCGTCAGACAAAGCTGCATCCTGTTTATATTTTCAGAGGATCCAAGCGAGACTTTCAACAACACAATTAATGGCGTGGCCAAGGCGCGAGGTCAGCGTGTTCCAGCTGGGGGGCTCCCCGCGTCCCTGGAGCCCCATGTGGCTGTGCCTCGCAGCCGGATGAGACGGCCATCGCTTTGAATCAATGCCCCGGGGCAGCACAGAAACATCTGCTATGATCCTTGTCAAAGTGGCCAAACCATATCAGCGTTACAACTCCCGGCCTGAGGCTTGGAAACCGTTTCCTCGGCACGGTCTGCATGAACCGTGGACCATCCCACAAATAGGTGTCACGACGTGGACTGAGGAAAAATACCGTGAGATTTATGGCCCACTCGTAACACAGAAAAGATGGACAGGGGCGAAATGCACAGTTGTGTGTGCACATATGAACATGTTTGTCTGATGGAGTCAGAGCACAGTTGGGCTGAGTGTTTCGCCACATGCTGAACAAAGCCCCGCTGGGGGAGGTCGAACAGAGATCAATGCTATGAGCTAACCCTACTATGCTTGAAACCCCAGCAACGAGAAACAGCTTTGTTTCCCCATTTACGACAAAGTTGAGGGGAACAACAACAACAACCATAGCAAACTATCCCAAAAGAGAAATACAATTCTCATGATATATGGACTCATGATAAATTTGTTAAGTTTCCCTCTGGGGATTGATGTTAAGTTATGTTATGTAGACGTTTTACACAATGTTGCCAAAAGAGAGTTACTAAAATGGTGTCTTCACCTAAGGGAGTTAAAAGAATGAGAACATACAACATGTTTTGGTGTTGATTTTAGCGATGTTCCTTCATTAACCACGGCATGAAAAGGTCACCAGATTGCTGACCTGGGCTGTTTCGTGAAAAGCTGTAGCTGTAGCTGTTGAAGTAACAAGGCTAATAAGACCACAATGAAACACATAAACTGTAAAAATGATACTGTACTGGGGGGTAGGGAAGTTGGGGCCTTATCAGACTCCAGATCTTAGTGCCCAGGACTGAGGCCAGGGAACAAAGGTCCCAAATATGTGTGTGTGTTATATATAAAAAAAATATATATATATAATAAAAAAAAACCACAACCTGAGATAGTTGTGCAACGGTCATACATCATGAAGACTCTTGTACTTTAAAGTCTCCCTTCAATGTCAATGTCAAGACTGGTCCATGACAGTACCTGGGATTTCAGTGGCTGGTACCTCACAGATTTCAGAATGCCAAACTCCTGCACAGACACAATGTGCAATGAATGGTTTCCTTCCACAACTGATCAGAGGTTTCACTGCAAAATTACCAGTGTCAAGTATACCAATCCCAGACCAATGTGAGTATGCAGCCTCACCAGAAGATCATGGAGACCCAGAAGATTGCAGGACGCACCGAGGTCAGGACGCGCAGAACTTCTCTGGCCCAATCTATCCAACTTGGAGAGCACATGTGGTTTAGTTAATAAAACATCCGCTGCATTGTTTAGCGCAAAAGGGGGGGGGGATAAAAAGTCAAAACATGAAAACCAAAACCGTATGTGGATTCTTGCTCCCCCACCCCATTTTCGTTCCCTTGAATGTTTTGAATTCGCCAGCAATCTGGAGGGAATCGAGGCTGGAGGCCCTCTCCTCGAGAGCACCAGTTTGAAAACTCAGCGCTACAAAGCATTCGCAGGTCTAAAGAGTTAAATGCCAAGGCATACTTTTAATGATTAGGAAATTATTCAAGAGGGGGTAAGAACAGCCTGGAACCAGCCATTTTGTGGTCTTTGGCCACGCATGTTCTTAATTATGACGTCCCGAAATAGCATCCCTTGGGCAGTGAGCACACACCAGAGGGTCATCCCCAGCAAACCGCTGTCATCATGGCCAAGAGAACGGAAAGCAAAACGCTTCAAAGATGTCAAAAAAGCATTTTGAGGGAAAGCCTACACTCGTCCTGAGAGTTCCAAAGCAAACATGCTAGAGGTAGGCTCGCACTGGAAAGTGCAGACTTGCCGCTCGTCTGCTCATCACAGGCAGCCGGGGCAGCAGCCACGTTCCCCGAAATGTGCGCTGAGGAGCCCTCAGCACGTCTCCCAGCTGCCTGAGGAACCAGAGACGATTCCTCACCCCTCCCCGTTATTCCTCTGACCCTGAATACAACCCCAATTTTAATGTAAACATTTACAGTAAGGACATCTGTCTCTAAGCAGAAAAAAACAGATCCAAGAATAAGCATTCACTGGGGAAAAAACAATTCCTATCAACGGAAAGACGTGAACTATCTGAGGGATCGGTCTGAAGCCACCTGCAAAAGGGCGCGGTAGGACAGGGGCCTAAAAGCGGTCACAACCAAGGCAGGAAAAAACAAAAACACCGCGTACCCTAGACCCCCCGGCAGAACATCTAAAAGACGCGGTACCCCCCCCCCCCCCCCCCC